TACTCGCGTCGCTCGTCACGCTGGTGATCGGTGTGCCGATCGTCATGTGGCACGTCGACGTCATCGAGTCGGGTTCTGTGAGTGCCGCGCCGCTCATCTCCCGACTCACAGCCACATCACCGCCTCCCAATGGCCCTGACATGCCCACGACCGCGACAGGTCTTCTTCAACCTCTCGGGCTTTGTGCTGCTGCTCGCCACCGGCGCTTCTGCCGCATTGTTCGGCGAGAAGCAAAGCGACGGTTGGGGCTGAGCCGCGCCCTGGAGAGTTTGCGCCCCCGTCACCCCAGAGCGCCGGAGTGGGTGGTGCGCGCGACGGCCGGGCGGATGCTGTATGGACTGTATCTCGCGGCACCACAGCAGGCGCCGCGATATCGCCTCGACCGCGCGGTCTCTCGGGGCGCGCTCTCGGGGCGCGCCCAGGCGCAGGGTGTGTGGGCGGGCGCTTTTTTCGGTAATGAGAGTAGCGAGTGCGAGAGCTGTTCTAAGACGAGGCAGTGCGGTAGTTCGGGTGCCCGATACACAACCTGTGCGCCGCGCCGCGTCTCGGACTAACCGCGTCGCCGCGCCGCGCCGCGTCTCGGACTAGACCGTAACCGCGTCGCCGCGCCGCCCGCCACGCAGCTCACTTCCCCCACACTCACCCTCCTCCGCGGCGTCCACCACGGCCCCAGCCGTTGCTCCTGCCCCCCCTCCCAAACGTGCCCACCCCTGCGGCGCTCCGCTCGACGGCGGCGCCCCGCTCGGCTAGACGCTCCGCGCGGAAGACGTCAAACGCGCGGCCGAGGTCGGCCTGCTTTGGCGCGTCGGGGCAGAGGGCGATGAGCTCCGGCAGGTGCACCAGCGCGGCCTCGTTGCCAAAGACGTGGACGAAGGCGGCGATGTAGGCGGTGGCGTCGGAGGCGCCGCGCTGGAAGGCGAGCGACGCAACCTTGAAGAGACCCATGCCGCGCTCGCGCCCCTCGCCCGCCAGCGAGCCGGACAGCGCTGCCTGCAGGCTGCGGTTGCGGCGGACGAGCTCGTCCCTGTCGAGGCGCCTCGCCGGCGGCACGCCCGACCGCATCGCCGCGCCGAGCGTCGGGAAGGCCTCCGCCGAGTCGATCGACGGCGGCGGCTCCGCAGACGCGAAGGCGGTCTGCGCCATCGTCGGAGGCGGCGCCGGCGCGGCAGAGGCGACCGCGCGGGACCAGCCTCCCACGCCGGCGGCGGACGAGGAGGGCCGCGGTGCGGGGCCGCCGCCGAGGCTTGGGAACGCCTCGGCAGAGTCGACCGCCGGCGGCTCTCGCCCACCTTGCGCCCCCGCGAACGCCGCGAGGCTGGCGCCGCCGGCCGGCGCCGCCGCGGGCTGACGGAGCGCGGCGCCGCCACGCCCGCCCCACCCTCCGGCGCTGAGCGGCGCGCCGCCGCCCCTGCCCGCGCCGCCGAGGCTTGGGAAGGCCTCCGCGTTGGCCAGGTCGACGCCCGAAGCCGCCGGACTGAGGCCGCCGCCCCCCCGCCCGAGCCAAGAGGCCTGGAGCGGAGTTGCCGCCGCCGCCGGCGGCACGGAGGCGTCGCCGAGGGAGGGGAAGTCGGCGGCAGAGGAGATCTGCGCGCCGCCGAGCGGCACGCTCTCCACAAACTCCTCCTCGTCCACGTAGTCGTGCCTGGCCGCCGCCTCCTCCCCTCCGCCGCCGCCTCCGCGGCCAAAGCCTCGGCCTCGGCCGCCGCGGCCGCCGCCGCGGAGGGCGCCGGAGTCGTGGCCAGAGGCGGCGTAGAAGGCGCGGAGCAGCTCCGTCGCCTCCGCCTGGATGTCGCGCACCTGGCTCGTTGCCGCATTCTGCCTCTTGTAGTCCTCCTTGTTTTCCCAGGCGTGCTCCACGCACGCCTTGCCGAGCCGGTGCTTGCGGAGGTGGGCGTCGAGCCGGACGCAGTCGTCGCGCGTGAGCTCGCGCCTCGAGATCGGATGCGCGAACGAGCCCGAGCTCACCAGGTACGAGGCCAGCAGCCTCGCGTCGAAGAAGTAGGAGTGAGAAGTCTCCTCGCTCGCGGCGAGCTCAAACGGCTCGACACGCAGTCGGCGCAGCGGCTCCAGCGAGATGGGATCGCAGTCCGTGAGCCTGCGCCACCAGAAGGGCCTCGACCGGTCGAGGTTCACGTCGTCCGGAGCCAGGTTCTCCGCCATGTTTTTGCGAGGGGAGGGGGTAGATGTCGTGGCAGTGACGCGTGCGCAAGAAACAGTGAAAAAACAAGCGGTCCGAACGAGGCCGTGGAGAGCGATGAGTCAGGGGAAGAGACAGCAGGAGAGAGAACGACGAGAGTGGGAAGAACGCGAGGTGGCATGAAGGTCGCTGCGAGAATTGGTGAGAAACTGCGAAGGGAGATAGAAAGAGGTAGACGCCCGAGGGTGGGCGACGGCTAGCACCAGGTGTGTGTACTTTTTGCTTGGGGCGACACTCATGCCGGGGTAGGTAGGGTAGGTCTGGGCCCTCCCCTCGGGTTTTTCCCTCTCTTCACACCGGAATTTTCACAGCATAAAAAGAAATTTTCCGCAGAAATCACGATGTCAACCCTCCCCAAGTGGGTGATCTGATGCTTTGTAGGGCCTGAGAGTGGCCTGCCATGTCACAGGAAGGACTGTGGTTGCAGGAGAGTACCACCAACCATCACTTCAGTTGGTATAGTACCCCACCTTCACCCATCCGGTGATTTCTTTTTTAGTTTCCCATAAGTAGGGTAGGTAGGTAGGTAGGTAGGTAGGGGCACCGCAGGGGCCGCTCAGGTTTTTCCAGAATTTCAGCATGAGTGTCGCCCCAAGCAAAAAGTACACACACCTGCTAGCACCACACTTCTCCCCTAAAATCCCTGTGTGGTAGCGGCGTGCCGTCCTCTCATCCCTCCCTTGGCGCTTGGCCTTGGGGTGTCGCTGTTTTCTTTCTTTCTTTGAGACTCCAGATAGAGCTGAGACGTGTAGAGAGGGTGGTGGGTGGGAGTAGGGAGCAGAGTCCAGAGAGATTAGGTGCCCTGTAGGCTTGGCTGCAAAGGGGATTTTTGTTGTGCCGACTTCGATCTTCGTGTGTGCTCCGCTTCTGAGAGAGAGATTTTGAGATATGAGAGAGAGAGAGACAGAGAGAGAGAGAGAGAGAGAGAGAGAGAGAGAGAGAGAGAGAGAGAGAGAGAGAGCCGAGATAGAAAGAGAGAGATTTTGAGTGAGACGGTTTAGAGAGAGAGAGAGAGAGAGAGAGAGAGAGAGAGAGAGAGAGAGAGAGAGGGAGGGAGGGAGGGAGAGGGAGAGAGAGAGAGAGAGAGAGAGAGAGAGAGAGAGAGAGAGAGAGAGAGAGAGAGAGAGAGAGGGTGGGAGTACATTTCTTTCTAATTTTATTTCGCCTCGAGCTGTGCTTAAAAAGTTAAATCTCTCTCTACAACCTCCAATCCCCGTCCTTGCTTGCGTCCCCCCATGCCGGTGTGTCCAGTCGCTGGCCAGCCTCTTCTAAACCAACACTCCCGTTTCCCAAGAAAAGAAAAGTCCAAGCCTTCCTCGATTTCCGCGAGAGCGGCGTCTCACAAAAAGCCTAGCCGTCCCGGCGCAAGAAAAGCCTTGCCGCCGAGCTGTCATTCCTTCTGCAGGCCGCGTGCAGCGACGCGCGAGTCCTGGCGGCGCAGCCGCCCCGCCGTGCGGACCATGGCCAACCAGCCCGTCGACGCGCCCGACGACGTGACCTCAGCCGGTAAGTGTCGAGAGCGCCCCCCGGCCAAAAGTCGACGATCCTCGCTCGCCGCCTCGCCCCTTCCGGCGGCGCGGCGGCGCCCGCGACGGGCGGCTCGCCCCACGGCGCACCCCGCCGCCGTAGGTACTCGAGGTGCTCGCCCTCCAACGACGCCGCGGGGGCGGAGGGCCGCGACCCGCTGGGCCGGCTGCCGCCCCCGCGCCTGCCGCCCCCGCGCCGCCCCCGCGCCGCCGTCGGCGGCGTCCAGCGCAAGCGCCGCCGCCGCGTCGCGCGCCGCGCGGGCAGCCTCGACGGACCAGAAGCCGTGCTCGTCGTACCCGGCGTCCCACACGCCCAGCGAAGGGCTGAGTGCCGTCGCGAGACCTCGGCACGCCTGCGCACGCCTGCGCACGCGGCAGAGCGACAGCAGCACCACCCTCGTCGGGCGCCCACGAAGCGTACTCGCGGGTCGCCGCTCCGTCGACCGAAGGCCGAGACACTTGCTCCGACGCCACCCCGCCCCCGCCCCGCCGGTCCGGCACCGATATCTCGGAGGACGACCTAAGGAAGAGCGTGGCGGCGCGTCGCCGGGGGACGGCGCGCTCGTGCTCTCGCCGCGAGATCGAGGGAGGGGGGGGGGGGGGCTGCGCCCCGTAAAAACCCCGGGGCGAAGGGTGCCTGTGCCCCGCCCGCCGAAAAACGCGCGGGTGAAGGGGGGGGGGGTGCGCGCGCGCCGTCCTGCAGCGTCGCCGGCCGCAGGCCAAGGAGCTCGGCTCCTCGAGAGCACCGACGGACGACGATCGGCTCCTCAGCAGTGGGACGCCGAGCTGGAGGCTCGGCCCGGAGCTCGCGCGGGCACGTGGAGCTTTCCGCTCGGGCCAGCAGGAAACGGGCGCCCCGCACAGCGACGCCCGCCGTAGAGTGCCGAGAGCTCGGCTCGACGCGAGCGCCGAGGAAAAGCGATCGGCTCCGCAGCAGTGGGAAACCGAGCTGGAGGCTCGGGCGGGAGCTCGCGCGAGCACATAGCGAGGTGCGTGCGCGGCGGCGTGACACAGGTGAGCGGGCAGCTGGCGCACATTTCGACTGTGGGAGCTGCCAGGAGTTTGCTCTCTCCGTTCACACCCCTTTGCAGAATGAAAAGAAAAAACTATGGCATGAACAAAGCGTGCTGGGAGCGAGTCACGCGCCGCGAGCCCGAGCGCTTTTCGAGAGGGCACGACGACGAGAGCGGACAGAGGTCAGAGCGGCCCGCCGCCAACATCCACCGGCCCTGAGTGCCGTGCTAACGCTAAAAGAGTAGTAGACGAGCGGTCGGCGATCACGAGGTGGCGCCGAAGATGCTCTTCTGGGACTGCGGAACGCCAATCTTCTCCATCGGCTTCATGTACCGCGAGTGGTAGACGCTCGCACCCGCCTCCCAGCCAGGGACGCTCGCCATGAGCTCCGCCTCCTTCTGGGTGAGCGTGCTCTTGATGTGCTGTTGCCTGCCGCGCGGGTGGAGTGGACGCTCAGCGGGAGGGGAGACGCGCGCACATGCGGCGTCTAAACAACGCGCGGGGCGTCTGCGCACTGCAAGTCGGACTCCGCCGTCAGAAAGGGCAGGATCGCTAGCCGTATGTCCTTCTCCTCGCGAAACCATGACCTGGTGGCGCACAGGTCGGCGCTCGGCGCGCGGCAGCGGGGCATTTCCGTTGCGCGAGTGGGCCCGCGCGAACCGGCGCAGCCGGTTGGCGGATATGACCTTGTACATGCCGAATGTGAAGAGGGCGGCGGAGCCGAGTGCGATCACCAGCGACGACGGCCCTCCCTTGGGCAGGTTCCGCGAGTATCGTACCGGCTTGAAGCCGCCCGGCGGTGGCACATCCTGTGGCGTGGCGACTCGCTGTCATCATGTTCGGGGATCGAGGTTTTGAGGGAGGGCGGTCCTGGGGGTGGGCGGGTGGGCGGCGGGCGGAAGTGTGGGGGCCTGCACGGGCGCCCCCGGCGTCAAGCCGCCCGAGCCAACGTGCGGCTCGCTGGGCATCGCAGCGCTCTTTGCAGAGTCCGCAAGAAGAAACCGCGCACGCTTGACCGCGGCCGCCTTCCCCTGTCAGTGTGCCTGTGGCAGCGAGAGACGGCCAGTGAGAAGCTGGATGCAGGTCGCTAGACTGAGATGAGACCGCCAGTGGAGTTGGGAGTCCACCGTGTGCACCCTCCCACTCACAGTTTTGTTATTGGTTATGGCTTATGGCTCTCTGGGCATAGCAGCCCATAACATGTTATGGGTGTTGTGGCTGTTATGGGGCCGGGCTGCTATGTCCTATGAGAGAGCCGTCCCGGGTCCACGGTGTTTTGGCCCGAGAGGCCACACCGAACTGCCGTCGGAGGAATTTTCGCTTCGGCCTTCCGCGCGCGAGGTTCGGCATCGATCGCCAACTATTTTCTCTTTTGCCCTCAAGTTAAATTCAATAACATCAACCTGCCTCTCCTGAGGCCTGAGCGATGGCTTCAGATTGCTCACAATCAAGACCCCTGAAGACCCCGCCCCCCCCCCCCTTCCCAGTTGCACGCAATTTGCTTTTCGCGTTTTTAAGCACTAATCTTCTGCGAGCAAGCCTTGCTCGCACAAGATTAGTAGTTAACCTTGCGTGAAGTTGGAGGGGGTAGTAGCTACGGCCTACGCGGGGCGGGGCGGGGCGCGGGCGCTCCAAAAGAAGAGTTTTACCGCGGCGAAGAAACACCGGGTCCGCGCGGCGGGGCTCCAGAAGAAAAGACTCCGTGGGACACACATAACAGCTGTTATGAGGTTGTTATGCTGGCTGTCATAACAACCAGTGGGAGCTGGGAGGTGTTATGAGTGCTATGAGGTGTTATGAGGTGTTATGAGGTGGTTATGAGGTGATAATGGTGTAGGGTGGGCATAACAGCCACAACAGCGATGGAGGTGTTATGAGGTGTTATGAGGTGTTATGAGGTGTTATGAGCAACCAGTCATAACAGCCATAACACCTGTTATGGCCGCTCTCATAACCTTGACTGGGGTCAAACCGTGCACCGCGCTAGCTCGTGTCCCTTGTCAGGAGCAGGTGAGGAGCGTCGGGCCGAAGCCCCGCCCAGACTCCCTTCACACACTCTCTCTCCTAGAGTCCCGTGGCGTCGTCCTAGAGTCCGGAGGTTCCGTCCGTCCCGTCTCGTGACCGTCTCCGTACCACCAAGACTCGACCTACAATCCCAGAGTCGGCCGCCGGGGCGGGCGTTTGCCCGCCCAGGACGCTCCGGCCGAACGTGGTAGCGGCGGTCGATCGTGGTAACCAAGTGGATGCACCAGCTCGCCAGGGCGTATGTAATACCGGTGATCCACACGACTGCTACGCAATTGGTTCGACCTGCCCTTCCGGCATGGCAGCGGCGGGCGACTCTCTGCCATATGCACGACAGTAGAAGGAGAACACATTGCCGTCGACCACAATGTCGACCAATCCGACGAGGGATTTCTCTCTCGCGCGCGCCTTCGGCTCGCTCGCCGACACGCCACTGCGCTATCGGTTCGCACACCCCGTCGACCACGATGTCGACGACTCCGCCGATGGACTCCGACCTGACTCACATCAAAGGTCCGAAGAGATTGACAAAGCGAGTTACGGTTACTCGCTTAGGGGACCCCTAGGCTTAAAAGGGTGGGCCCTGGGGCGCCTGCGGCTTAAACGGCTTAAAACTTGCCATGGCAAGTTTTAAGAGCTGCTGGGCCGCCAATTCCTTAAACGGTCTTAAACGCTTAAACGGTGCGGGAGAGCTCCCGAGGTCGATGGTCCGGGAGGCTCCCGGTAGACACGCCGGAGGCCGGGAAGCCGGCTACAGTCAGCTAGCACGCGTCCCCTATGCGAGTATGGCTCCTGCCAGTGCACCAGACTTACAGATGTGTCTTCAGAGGCGGGTTTGTGCCTAACAACGGCAGTATTGGAGAAAACGGCGCGGAACCCAGCGACGCGTGCCGGCGAGGCCGATTTTCTTAAACGGTCTTAAAAGAGGGACCCCCCGTGCCTGCAATCTCTTAAATGGCAAGTTAAGCCCCCAAACCTCCTCGTTTGTCGTTTCTTAAAAGGTCTTAAAAAATCCGGCCCTCAGAACCCTAGGGGTCCCCTAAGGTTACTCGACTAGAGCCGTACGTCGACTCGTCGAGGGGGGGGACGTCGGGCCGAAGCCCCGCCCAGACTCCCTTCATACTCTCTCGCTCCTAGAGTCCCGTGGCGTCGTCCTAGAGTCCGGAGGTTCCGTCCGTCCCCCGTCTCTCGTGACCGTCTCCGTACCACCCCAAGACTCGACCTACAATCCCAGAGTCGGCCGCCGGGCCGCGGGCGTTTGCCCGCCCAGGACGCTCCGGCCGAACGAGGAGAGCCCCACCTGTGCGCCTGATCGTCCTTCCAAAATCCTGCTCGTGCAGGTGGGGACCCTGTCCTCCTCCCCCAGGCTTGTCCGTTTTCTTTCTTTCTTTAGAATGAGAAAACGATGCTCAAGAATTTTGCCAGACCCGGCCGCCGGCGCGAAATTCGCGATGTTCTCTCTTTTGGGGCACATGAGAAATGGAATGAAGGAGCGCGCGGTGTACCTGTGTTAGCAATACCAAACAAATCTAACACTCACACATCATTTGGGGCCTGGAGTTTGTGTTTTTGTGCGCGGTGTCAGCGTGTCAGCTCACCCGCTACTCAGCTTCACGGACAGGCGCTCTCTACCTTCCCCTGCTCTCTCCCTCTCTGG